TTTGACACGTGTCAATAGAAAGTCACTTAAATATTTCCTTGGCCAGACTGATCTTCATTTTTCCATTTTGAGTTGGGGGGGGAGGGTTTATTTAGCCATTTTCAGGGATCCCCTTCCCTTTCTCTATGATCCAAATCATAGGGTGAGCGTGGCCCCAGCAGAGAAATGCAAGAAAAACCTCAGGGAGGGAAGTAGGTGCCCTCATCAAGCCAAAACACATCACACCATCTTTCCATCTTCATTTCTCCCAGTTTATCTTTCCTTCCCTCGGAAAAAAAGAAACCCAAACACCACAATTTAACACAATAAAGCCATGATTCTTATCTGGAATCTTTAGTCATAAATTAGTGCCTTTATCCTCAGCATTTGATATATATGTGTGTGGCTAAACAGCTATAAACATTGTGGTTTAAGCAGCAGTTATGTGAACCAAAGGCACATGAATCGCATCAATGGACTGGCACAACTGGTCATTGGTCCTTCAGTGCTCTTTAGTGCAGGAACTTAAAGTGTTGGTGCCCCATGGTGGCTGTAAAAACAAATACTTTCTTCTGATGCAAACCCTCCTCAGCTGCCAGAGAGCACATAATTCAAGTAAAAAAAAAGGAAGACAAGGAAAAAAAATAAAGTAATAATAATGGTATATAGTGATATGATTATTTCCAGTTCCATAATTGTTGCCGTGCCAACTCTGTGCACATTTCTGTTCAATGGAAAGATGAGATTTTGCACCCCTTTTTAGTGTTGCAAGAAAAGGGGATTGAGCACCACCTGAGTTTATCCCACAGAGGTACCAGCCAGGCAGGAGATGACCCCAAAATGCCCTCCCTTGGCCCTTCCATCCCCATTCATGCTGCCATCTCCTTCCCTGCCTGGGACAGAGCTGCCCAAAACCTCTCATAGCTGATTCAAAACCCTGTTTCTCACATAGGTTTCCCCAGCTGCCTACATGGTGGTCTACCAGGGGTTAACATCGTTCTGGGTTATAGCAACTCCTAATTCAAACCTATTCCCCTTTCAAACAAAAGTATTATAATCATTGGATTGAACTGGGGTAAGAAACAGTGATGAAAACATTCCACCTTAAAATTAGAAATTAAAAAACCTAAACAGATTGGGTTTGGAATACCCCGTGATGGAAACCACATTAAAATGAGGAAAAGCACTGTGAATTTCTATGCTGGTGATGGCTTTACACAAGATGAATTCTGTGAAGTTTTCCTAGTTCTACACAGCACATCTGAGAGCAGCCCTAGATATTTCCTTTCCTATTTCCTGTCCTATTTGTTTCCCATCAGATGCCTTCTGTCTGCTTAGGGGGTGGACACTCACAGCTGCTATTGATGTTAGTTGAAGTTTTCTCGTTGCTCTGAACATCAGACCATGTTGTCAGCTGTGTGAACATCCTTTTCTGTGCCAAGCTCTAGCACCACGGTGGGCATCCCAGTCGAGGACTTGCTGCGTGCTCCAAGATGAGGCTGTTCCGCAGCCAAGCCAAGCAAAGACCTATTGTTGTTTCATCATATTATTACTGCATTATTCTGACAGCTTTACTGTCTTAAATCAATAAAAAGAGGTGTTTAGGCATCAATGGGCAATGGAGTAATACAGCCAGCTGAAATTAAAACAAAACAAATTGAGAGTGTTGGTGAACACAGACATTAAGAGGAAGAAAATCGAATGGGCCTGGGGAACAGTTCCCCCATGAGCAGATGTCCTTTCCCATTTCTCTGCATGCAACACAAAACCATGGTTATTGTCAGGGCAGACTCTGCCTGAACCAGTTCTGAGTCCAGAAATGAAATCTCTCATTTCAAGAGGCTCCCGGGCTGCTGGCACTGGCTCTGCAATGAGCAGGAACACAACATTAAGCACTATATGAGTTTTGCTACAGTCAACACATCAACCAGAGAAGCATTCAGATGTTCTATTACAAATATCTGCAGGTAAAATGTAATCTCCCAAAACAGTTTGGTCTTCAGATGCAAAATGAAGACGACACGCTGGGATGCTTTAATGATGGTAGTTTCTTTCTGATGTTAAAAAAGCCCATCACAGAGCTTTACTTTCACAGTAGCTGATATCAGAGTCCATACAAAAATTGGAGCATGCAGTCGAAACACAGGTAAACACACATGGTATTTGCGTGATGAGTAAAAGCATCTTTTGAACTGAAATAACCAAGTTTCCTTCCTGAAAGTTTCCCTTTTAAAGAACTGTGCTTTTAAGGAGAAAAAAAGCTGATTTCCATTTGTGTGTGTGTGTTGCAATTGCTTAAACTTATTTCTCATACAACATATAGAAGAGAGAAAGTAGTTTTCTAATAAGGGGAAACCTGAATTCAAAGGTGGCCACAACCACCCTGGAAAGGGGCATTTGGAGTACAGAAGCCCCCAGTATTTGCTTTAAAAATGATAATGTTCAGACTGGGGAACTCATTCTCTTCCTTAGCGCTGTGCTTGAGCTACCAAGCTTCTTCAGAGAGTTTCTGCATTGATAACCAGGTGAGAAGAAGTAAACAAGTCAGAAATGCTCACAGTCATACCCGTGAGTAGACAGAATTAATACCATTTTGTACCTTTTAGATAATGGCCTTTTTCTTAATGCTGGTTTAATGTAGCCTGGAGGTCACACGCTTCCATTTCCACTAACTTTTTTCTATTGTAGAGCATAAAAATGATCTATAGACTTTGCACATTGTCAGGTCTAAGTTTCAGGGCTAATGGCACATTGATGAATCGTTAACACTTTTTCTATTGTCATCTTGACAGTTCCCCAAGAGTTGTTTTCAATGTCAAGCTTTCACTGGCTTCGGTGAAATATCCTTATCCCCTGTTAAGAAGATGCATTGCATCCTGTTATTGCCATCCATTACGCAGGCACTGTTCCCACACAGTAAGAATACTATTT